TATTCTAGCGTGCCACACGGCGGAGTCCGTTCTATTGGGCGGACGTGGTATACCAAGCACGGTTCCGTAGATCGTGCCGTAACGCGTCGCGATTGTCCGTCGGAGCCTGTCGGAAGCCGGGTAACCCTGAGCGAAGTGAACCAAGGGGCAATTGAAACCAAGATAGAGCAATACAGAGGGAGATATACGCCTTACGAGATCGGTGCGGTCCGCTAACTCCTTACCCCGCAGAAGCAGCCCCTGCGCGCGCGAACGCGGCCCAATCGATGCTCTTGACAGGCCCACGCCGAGGGTCCCACCCAAAACCCACGATATCTGACAGATGGCGCATGGTGGGTCGCCCGTGGGGGCAGTGCCATGGCTGGTCCATCGTGCCCATGTGCTGCACCACCTGGAAGACGCGGCCGGACCCGCAATAAAGTCAGCACTTGCTCCTCCCGCACGTCTGCTGCCAGGATACGAGCCACGACGAACGCACGTACCGACGTCATCTGCCGCCGGTTGAGGGGAGTGCCAATCATGATACTCTTCCTGCACGCACGCATGGCGAACATCGCGCGGGCCTTAGAGCATCGCACCATTTGTCCAGCGGGGCGATCCTGCATAAGATGCAGTAACTCTTCGAGATCTGCGTGGGCTTATTTCAGTATCGCTGAGCAGGCACGCGAGTGGAAGGTTCGGGCAGACCTTTCATGTCGAAGACGGTGCTCTTACTAATCGGTTGCGCAGTCAACTGCATGCGCTGGCCGGGCGCACGGTCTTCGGAGACATCGAGCTCGAAGCCGTTCTGTCTGAGAACATCGACGTTCTCGAGTGCGACTATTTCGTCCGCAGCCGCGAGCTCCAGTATCTGGGGGCTGTGCAAGACTGTAAGCTCGAGTGCGGCAATGGGGGAAGTCTCGTACCGGAACAGCTTCTGCGAGTCAATCTTGGTCGTGCGCTGCAGCGTCTCAAAGTTGTACTTCTCGTCCGCCGCATGCTGGTCGACGATGAACAGGTCGTCCATGTCCGTGACAGACGAGGATTTCTGCCGGCGGACGATGATGAATCCCAGATTGAACTGCCCAACAATCTCCATGCGTGTAAAGTCGTCCTTGTCGATGACACGCGACAGGGTCTCAACGGCCTCGTCGTCATCCGTGGTGTTCCCAACTCCAGCGGAGTCAAGCGTCCCCTTCTTCTCCTCTGCAACACGATCCCTCTCCTCGCGTTCACGTACAGCGTCCGCAAGGCGAGTCCGCAGCCGGTCCCAGCACGCAACGACACGAGACAAGTCAAAGACCATCGAAACAGACTCTTCGTCTGCCGTGCGGACGAATTCCTCGTTCGTAGCACCGATAGAGGAGTCCCCGAGGTCGCTCCGAGCCGTCACGGGCTCAGGCACGTCCAGACGATCTCCCCGGGTGATATCGATGACCTGTCGCACAGGAGACTCATGCTCGTCCATGCCAGCGTCCATGGGCTCATCATCTTCGACCCTGACGAGACCGATTATCATCTCCTGCGGCTCTGATTCGCCTTCGCTGTCTTCCCCGGTGGAGACAAGTTCCTGTTCGTCTTCCCTGTCTTCCCTGTCTTCCCTGTCTTCTCCACGGGAGACGAGTCCCCGCTCGTCTTGCGCCTCTGCACCCGCGTCCTCGCCTTCCCCACCTTCCATGTCCATCTCAACTTCCTCCACCTGACTCCCGATCCTCGCAAAGCCCCGCAACAGCTCCCGCATGCCCTGTTGTGCGCCCCGACCCCCGCGCGTCGCGTCCAGCTTAGACTTCTTCCTCGGGCGCTCCCCGGGGGCCTCGTCAGCTGGCCGCCGCAGGCTCCAGGATGCACCTGACGTGCTCAGGACCATCTGCTCACTCCTACTCTTCGACGGCTGCGACGAAACACGCACGACGGGACGAGCCGGCAGCCGAAGCGACGCGATCGGCGCGTCCGCAGGAGCAGGAGAGTCGCCCTCATCTTCGTCAGCCTGCGCAGGCGAGGGCCGCCTGGTACGTCTGTTGCTCATCTGGGTGACCGTAGGAGACATTGGCGCCTCCGGCACGGGTGAGGCAGCACTATCCCCATCGTCACTCAGCGCCGGGCCAGCAGGAGTGGCCAAACGGGCACCCACAAGATTAGGGTTAGCGTTTGCCCGAGCCATGGCGCCGGCGTCACCGTCACCGTCTGCGTCGACGTCGACGTCCATGTCTACGTCCACAGCTGCCTCGAAGAGACGAAGACGTCGCCCTTCCTCAGCTCTATCAGCGTCAGCCTCTTCGATTGCCCCTTCTCCTTCCCGGTCGTGTTCCTGTGACGGGAGTGGGGCGCTGGATGACGGCTCGGAAAGTAGGGTTGCTTCGCCGAAGGTCGGCACATCAGTCTCCGTGGACGGTCCGATAGGAGAGTCCGACGGCTGGGAGGTCGCGGGACTCGCGTCATCGCCAAGCTCCTCCGGCAGGAAGAGTGGGTCCTTATGTGTCCCGGTTTGAGTAGGTAAGCCACGAGGCTGCGTAGCAGACGCGGCCGAGTCTGTCCTGCGCGGCGCTTGAGAAGCATTGATGTCGTAAGTCGACCTCGATGGCGCGTACTTCTCTTCAAGCGCAGCCTACAGTAGCAACAGAAATAGTTAGCTCACGATGCCTGTCACTTGAAAGACATGCACGAACTCTGAGCGCCTGTACGAGGTTGCCCTCGCTGTGGAGGAGGATCGTACGCTTGTCCGGGCTGACGTTGATGTCGCACGAGTCTAGCACACGATGTGAGCTGCCGTTCTAGACAAGAGCCTCGGTACGTACTCGTAGGAAGGATAAAGTCGGCGATGATGAACGGCGATTGCGTGGCGTTGAAGGAGCGATACACCTCGTTGAACGCCTTCTGCACCTGTAAAGTACCCCATCTCAGTCTAGCGTAACGCGAATATAAGAAGCGACCCGCACCTTCGAAGGCGAACACGGCCGGCCGTTGACAAAGAAAAACTGGCGGTCGGTGCCGTTGCGTCCACACCCAACTGCGAACTTCGAGATCAGCCCTCGCACCCTGACCTCGTTGGGGTTCCTGGAGCATCAGTAATAGTAAGCGACGCAGGAACACGCGGGGATGCACCGCTTTACTTACTCGTCGTCCTGGGCCTTCCCTAGCCGCCGGAGGACAGCCGCCTCGACTTCCACCACGAAGCACAGATCAAGCTCGACGAGGTTCTCCAGCGCCTTCGGGCCCCAAACTGCAGAGACGGACGCGCGGGTTGAAGGGGTACCGTCCGTGCGTAATTGTACAGTCTTCTTCCTGCAGATGACGAGCTCAGGAACAAATAGTTGGAAAAAACGACGTTGCGCACCCTCCAATGGTCTGGTTCGTCACACTCAGGCGGACGCCCTTGTTCTCCTTCGCACACGGGACGAGAGCGTACGCGTGGAGGAGCGAGAGCGCCTTGCCGAACTCGCGCCTCGCGTTCCGCTCCAGCTCCTTGCGCCGAACAGGGAGCGGCTTGAACAACCCCGACACGGCCACGGTCGTCCCGCGCTGACGACAAGCAGAGCCAACGTCAGTACGCTGGGTCAACGAAGTCTCAACCGGACGCACCTGCCGAGCCGCCTTGCCCTTCTTCCCCTTGGCCCTGCCAGTCCGCTCGAACTCGATGACCGTCCCCACTGGAGCCTCCGCGGCGGTGGCAGTCGTAACAGACACGGACTCTGCGAGGGCGCAGAGGGACGACAGCGCCTCCCCGCGGAAGCCGAATGTGGCCACCGACTCGAGATCGGTGAACGAGGAGAGTTTGGACGTGTGGTGCTTCAGTGCTGGAGGACGAGTCAGACTCAGAGAACATTCAATCGACTAGGAAATCTATCCATGAGCACCAGTGTGTAGCAGAGCCGTTGCTGGTGGGGTCGGGGAGGATAAGAGCAGCGGCGAGCAACGCGTTGCGCGACGGGATGTCAAGCGAGGCGTGACACAGGCCTTACTAGACCGTGACTCTGTCGGACCACGGACTACTAGCGTAAATTCTCCGCGGTAGTCCTCCAGAAAGAGTGCTCCCAGTGACTCGCACTCTCTGCGGACTCAAGCTCGCCATCTGCCCTAGCAGCATCTATTTCAAGAAACGGACACTCACCAATAGAGTCATAGTCCTCCGGCGGGATGCCGCTTCCATTATCCACGACCTCGAACGACTCTAGCCCATACTCCCTAAAGCGCACCTCTTTCCACCGTCAGCACCTCCGCCCTTATGACACGGTCCATCTCGAGCATGACACACCTATGTTCGTCGCGCCCGCGTCCAAGCTATTCTCCACGAGCTCCTTCACGGCCGTCTGCAGGTCGACCACCACCTGGCCCGACGAGATCTTGTGGACGGAGCCTGCATCCAGGGGCTTGATCCCTGAGGGTTCAGCTTGGGATGTGCTAGCCGCCGCCGCCTGGTCCGTGGTCATCGTGATTCGTGTCGCGGATAGTGAACCAAGCCCAGGTCGTAGTGATATCGTGACGATCCCGGACAACCGAGTATATTTTCAGGTCAGAAGTTAAGCAGTAGATAAGTAGCAGCAGTTAGTCAGAGCATGGAGACCAAGAGGACAAGCACAGCATTGAGACCGTGGTGGTACAGGGGGAACACGCGAACTACAAAGCGCGCAGACGTGACGCAGAACGCGCTCCGTCACCCAGTGACTCACGCGTCAGTCACGCGTCGCGTCGCGACGCGTCGACCTCGCGCCGAAGCTCAGCGCTCAGCCGTGGCCTTGGGTCCGCAATCACACCGAAAGGTTGCAGAGGATGTCAGACAGTATGTTGCTATACGGTAGGAATACGGTGGGGTACAAGCCAGGCGAAGTGAGATGACTAGCGATACAGATGGTGATTATACAGGTGCGAGTAAGTACGATAACGGGCGTCGAGCCCTGTGTCCGAGGCTACTAGGCGATGCAGGATGGGGTACATTATGGGTGGGGATAAGACACAGGGCTCGTGTGGATTAATGAGGGTCCGATACGATACGATAATGTGACGTTGAACCGTGTGGCTTGACGGCGGGAGGTCGAATAAGAATAAGTTATAACGGGGGCGCGCGGCCGACGCGACGCGCGCAATAACGTAGCTCGAGCCTCAGGCTCAGCGAGAAAAGGTGCTCTTCATCCTTGGGTTGCGGACGCAGAACTAGAAGCGGCCGCGAGGCGGAGCGCCGGCGCGCGAGACGTGCTCGATTTCGGCGGAGAAGACGTCCCCACCGAGATGGACGATCGAGGCGAGCGCGAAGTCGTCGATTGTAAAGCGCTTCATCTGGATATTCCAGTCCGGAATACCACCAGTCCGCTTGTAAGCCGCGGACACCTGTCCGCGCGCGCAGGTCAGTCCATCGCGTACGATGCGGATGGGAGGCATGTGTGGCTTACCGTGAGGAAATGTTTGAAGACGGCCGCGACCTGAATCGCCATCGAACTGATGGGGCCGGCGTGAATATCGGCCGTCCAGTCCGCGTAGCCCGGCCACTGCAACCACCACAGTTTAACCTCAACCACCCTGGCACCTATCCACGACGAGAGACGCACCGAGATTCTCAAACGCACGCTCCCGGTCGTGATCAGCTTCGTGATGGACATGTCGTTGGCGCGGGCAAAGCGCCCCGAGAGCGCGGCGGGGCTCGCGCGGAGCAGCTCGCCCATAGGCAGGGGCCGCCCTGCGAAGTCCTTCGTGCCGAAGGACCCCAGGCTCTCCGAAACCTGGAACGCGCCCAGCGCGTCCGCGTCGGAGGTGTAGATAGCCTGGGGGACCAGCATGTCGGCCAGCGGTGCGTCTTAACCAGGAGTCCAAGCGAAAAGGAGGGCGGGCGGGCGAGTGCGCGAGAGAAGACGAGGTGCAGACCGAGGGCGCATTTGCGGCGGATATGTACTGAGGGCGCGACAAAGCGCGATACGTCGGCCAACAGCTCCCAAGGGACAGAAAGCCATAAGTCCAAAGGATGGACAACGTAAGCTGAGCACCGCGCGCAAGCCGCAGCGCGGTGCAGGCCAACGGGGCGGCCTCCATATCGGGCAAGGCGCATACAAAGGGCGGCGTCAAAGGCGGGCAGAAAGACTAGGCGAGCGCAGCTAGAAAGGAGAGCGACGAGTGCATTGCGCATAGGTCTCCGAGAACCAAGCCAGCGTCGGCGGATCAAAGTAAACAAAGATAGTCGCCCTTTGGCTCCGTTATCGCCCATGTGGGAGGGCAATGGTGCATAGATGGAACGTGGCAAGAACGTGTTGTGCCACTCCTTCAATTGTCGAACGGGGACTTCCGGTGGCTGGCTGTGACGCCGAAGTTAACCAGAGCCGGAAGCAATAAGGCCCTTCGTCGCAGATGTATGCCACAGTCAGTCCATATACCACAGTACGCGAAACGAAGAGTTAACAAATAGCCTTCTTGAAGTTGGAGGTTCGCGAGCTCCCGAGAACGAAGTCTGCGCCGTCGGAGCTGGCATCGGTGGCCTGTAGACTGTGAGGCATGCCGGCAGGGGAGAACGATACGTCGCCAGGATTCCATAGGTGGGCAGGCGATGAGAATCTTGCAGTCGAAGTCCGCGGACAGCAGCGCTTATCACAAACCCGATGAAGTTCTGTCCGTCGGCGTTGACTGCAGTGATTCAGACCTTACGCATACAAGCGCGTCAGTGCCAATGTGCTTGACTGACAACGGTACGTGGACAAGCTCCTACCTTCACGGCGAAAGTCGACTTTACGTCAACACGCCTGTGAGATTTGGTACCAATAAGAGGTTCTAACGTATACCTCAAATGTCTTGTGGCAGTGGAGTTCCATGTTTGCTATTGTGAACAGCGCCCCGAGAGACCCGCCGAAGAGAAACCCAGGTAGTGATGACTTGCTACGGTCTTCGGGCGCGCCTGTTATGATGAGCCGCCAGGTGTAAGGAGAACTAGCCAGAGACCGTATATTGTTGTGACATTGCTGACTGAGCCTCAGGTGAGCCTCTAGTGCTGACGGAGCGCAGTCTCGAGCGCGGGACTGAGGCGGGGAGGGGAGAGGGGGGAGAACAAGATGCAGGTGAGACGGTCCGCCTTATATAGGCCCGAGCAACGGAGACAAAGCCAATCAAATGACGACTATAGAAAAACCCAAGAAAAGCGACGCATTGCCCGGCGAGGCGGCGGCTGGCGGCGAGTCAAAGCGTGTCAAAGCTTCGTGACGGAACAGGCGTTGTTTGTGCATGTTAGGATCCAAAGCCGCCGCCGTTCCATATCCGGAACGGCTCGGGCAAGGGCCAGCTTACATAATGGATGGCTGGATGCACGGACGCAACAAGCGCCTGCAGGCCTGGTCTGTTCTCATCCGCAAGTCATCTCTAGTCTGTCCTTTCTCCCGCAACACATGGAGTCTCTCAACAACCTCGCAACTTCGCTCCCGTCGTCCAGATATGCCAATGCAGAGAAGGAGCTCACGGACAACTTCCGAGGTACGCTCGTCGTCCTATCTCATATCCCGAACGCCCGCACCACCACCTCCACGCCGACCCAGCATCGGACTCGTCCTCAAACTCGCCTTTGGCGATCATGGCGGACCTGCACACAGTTTGCAGTACCTCCGTGGTCGATTGAGCGAGTGAACGCCATGCCGACCACCCCTTTCCCTCTCCGTCGGCCATGGAACTACCACGCTGACCACTCCAATTTGCCCATGCAGCTGCGGCGATGAGCCTCACCACGCTCTACCGCTCCTCCAAGACCGCATCCAAGCGCGCGTATAACGCAGGCTACGCGTCCGCATGCCACGACCTCCTCAACATGATCCAGCAGGGCGTCTCCACAGAGGCCGATCCTAGCCGCGAAGTCACTATCGGCAGGATCATGGACTACATCGAAGCCCGGCTCGAGGCCATCAAGGCCCGCGAGGAGGAGGAGGACGAGGAGGAGGAGCGGGTCACGAAGGGCGTCGCTGGTCCGAGCGCGCCTAAGACGAAGCCGGCCAGTCCGACGCCCGCGTCCTCTCCTGTGACGAGACGAGAACAGGTACGTTCCATTACTTGCCGAGAATACACCATCGCTTCCTCGTTGCCCATTGCTATCCATCGCGTTCTTTCTTGCCCTCGCCTATCCACCACTGCACTCGGTCAGGTGCAGAGAAGTCATCCTTCTGCGGTCGTCTCCGGAAGCTGGATTGCAGATGACGGCACACTCCAGGGTGTGGCGTGGCCAAGGACATTCCCGCTCGATCCGCCCCAGCGGCAGGCATTTTCGGCGACTTGGGGAAACACCCATCCCAGCCGTCGTAATGTCTGCCCCCACTGCTCAGTGGGCGCATCGTAGCGCGCGATGCCGTGACGCATTCGCTCCGCGTGCGACATCGGGCGTGGCCTACAGGCCGGTCGTAGCTCTTTCCCGTTGCTGAGTTTACGCCAGACAACTGGAATTTCTGAGAGGTCGGCTGCAGTGGCACGGATACGTTGCAGTCGGCGTTGCCAGTTGTCGCCCAACTGCCCTGCGCCTTTTGCCCAGCACCTCTTGCGGCGCGAGCGAGACTTGAGACTGAGCGTAGCGGGGCTTGACTACGCGAGATGAACGTGAGCACGACGAAGTCTGGTTCTTCCTGTGCGCAGTTTCGCACAGGCTGCAGCCTGGAGCAATCCTGAGTGTCTCTCCATCCGACTTGCCTCATTTATGTTCTGTTTACATCTCGCTCACGTCTATTCTTGACAGATGGTCACGGCGCCGCCGACTCCGTATACCCCATCTATGCTCGACACGTCCCGACCATATGCCCCACCCGGTCTCGCGTCACCCACACCCTCCGTGCTCCCCCTCCGCCCCATGTCTGCGCCCTTCCAGTCGATATCACGCGCGTCCAAGTCGCGGCTCATGCCCTCCATCAACCCAAAGGACCTATCACCAGTTCCCCTACCCTCCGCCACGTTCGACGCACCCGCCATTGCCGATGTGACCGTGCACCCGGCGCCCACAGAACCGTCCATGACGCTGAAACGGAGAAGGGAAGATGCGTCGCATTCGGGCTCGGAAGCTGCAGCGAACGGCGCTGACACGAGCCGTCGGCGAACACGCAGCAACCGTGGCGAGAACCAACTGTCCGCAGGTCAAGGAGAAGCGATGGACGTCGAGGAGGAAGGACCACAGCGCAAGCGCGTTGCGCGGCGATGAGAAGTCAACCATGTTCACGGTACAGTAGTCATGCACATTTCGTCCCTTCTCTCACACACAACAAGTCCGAACACGTTACACGATATGCCACTATTTTCTGCATCCGCATGTACATTTCTCACTCCGCACGCTGCACCTTTGCATGGGTTCGGGCACATGATTGTATCGTATACTTCGCCGTATGTTTTCGCGTAACGTTATATGTTTGTTCGGGCGTGGCTGCAATTGTATAACATGGCATGCTCTGCGTGTGGGCCCGTGCTCCCCTGTATCGACGTCAATCTCAAAGGCTACTTACTTTTCGAAGGTGGGTAGGCCATGTTCCGGATATGGAAGGCGGAGGCTTTGGATCCTAACACGCACAAACAACGTCCTTCTCTCTCCTCCCACCCTCATCTCTTGAATCGTCGGCTCTCGGCATACTCGCTGTGACAGCTCCGAGCGTCTCGTTTGTTTGCCTCGGACAGACTTTACTCGGAGAGATCTCCTGGGTATGTCCCAGCACCGTGACGACCGAGAAACAGACGGCGTAGCTCGGACTTCTCAGTCGCAGGCTAAGTAAGTACTTATCGTTCAGCTCGAAACATGCATCTGGAGCTTACATCCAGTTGGTCGTACAGCGAAGTCGTAAGTACTGCCAGTCACTCAGGTCCTTCATCTGTGTGGTCAGCTCGCGGAGCGTCCAGACCCTTTTCCCGAGGCGTTCTCAGCCTCGCGGTGCCTTCGCGGTGCCTGTTACTGCTTCGACCTCTGTGCTGCTGATAGTCTTGCAAGCGTTTGGCAAGAATAGCACAGCCCGTTGCAGCGGAAATGCTGATGGCGACGCTGTAAGCAACATCCACTCCAGACTTAAGTACTGCGGCAGTAGTGCGGTCCGAATCGACTTCGGTCCGAAGCCTACTATCATCAAGTGACTCTCTGATTGAAATGTACCAAGGGCACACTCAAATCGATGCTGCCGCCGTTTGTCCTGAATGTGTAAGACTGGTTGCCATCCATGTGTCTTGACGCCTGCAGCTACCACCACGGAGCATGCTGGTGAGTATCGCTTTCCGACTTCTTATGCTTCGATTGACGTTTTTAAATAGTGCGCGCCGTCAGGACGCCCGGTTTGACCCCCTATGGCGACTCCATACTGCTCCATTGCTCCTATAGAGTGACGGTCTACCATCTCGCCGAGGGTCAAGCCTGCGATGCGCGCACTGTGCACCGGTGTCTTCGTATCAATGCTCTCCATTTTCCGAGCCTGTCGTCCGGTGTCCCAAGTTTACGCCGGTACGCTCTCGTAGTGTGATGTACTGCGTGTCGCTGGACTGATTCAATTCTAGCTACAGTCTGTGGATATTAGCAAGCCGGTCGTCGGACAGAGGACTTGTAAGCAAACCTCGCAACACACGATCTCTCCGCAAGCACAACGGAGCAACAGCGATAAGGCTGACACTGAGCCTGCTGAATTCGTCCTCGAAAGCGTTCTTAGCACAGCCAAAGTACGAAATTACCTATCCATGAACCGCTCTTCCCCCTCAGCAATCGCAATCACAGCCGAGGCGAACGCCATCTATGCAGTCGTGTGAGCGGCGTGCGCCTCGTACGCCACCCGCCGTGTCCCTTGCACCATTAGGCCTGCGAACT